CCCGCGCCGCCGACGGGCTCGGGCGCCTGGGCCCTGGCGCGACCTACCTGCGCCGACGCCTGCCCGCTGCGTTGGGGAAGGAGGAAAGGGACGCGGGCGCCGGCCGGCATAACAGGAGCCTGGGCAAGGCTCTCGCTTGCCGTCCCGGCTTTCCTGGGGCCCAGTGCCTGGCAGATCTGGAGTTTGGGGCGCTGGAAGCTACACACTGGCACTTTATACATCCCCAGAATGAAGCGCCATGTGGCTCCGAGTGGCCACTGGGAATCCCGGCTCACCAGGCCTCTCCCACAGTTCCTGGGACTTCTTGCGGACCGAGGCCCAGAAAAGGGAGCGCAGCGCCAGAAATCAATTCCCTTCGCTTTTCTTGTCCCAAACCCAACCTGGGACTCACAGGCCCCAGGGAGTCTCAGGAAACCAGCAGGGGGGGGGGAGCCCCAGCCCCGGTCCCGCGCCAGCGCACTCCCCTCAAGGGGTTTCTCCCGAGACCTCCCCAGCTCTCCGCACATTTCAGAAGTCAGAGCCTGTCGGGCACAGGGCGGAGCTGGCCGAGGCTGCCCACCCTTGCCCAAGACCCTGCCCGAGTCTGCACGTGGGGCGCCAGGCCTAGGCTGCCCGGCAGCTTCCTGGGGGCGGGGGTCCCCGTGTCGGGCGCCTGGGTTCGCCTGCTGCGCTCTTTCGCGGGCTTGAGAACAGCGTGGGCGGGTGCCGCTCTGCAGCCGCAGCCTGCTCCTCGCTCCCAGCCTCTGCGCCGTCTCTTCCTGCCGACTGGTCCCTCCGGGCGCCTTTAGTGGGCAGCAGAACCCCGGTCTTCTGCAGATGCCCCGCCCCCGACGTGCTTCCAGAAGTTTCTCGCCCGCGCAGCAGCGCCAGGACGTCCAGCTCTCGCCCTTTCTCCGACTCTGGCACCTTCGTCTCGGCCTGGCCCTGGCTCCTGCGCCCTCCAGGCCCTCTCCTCGCGGCAGCCGCCCCTAGGGGCCGGGTGGGGCCAGGCGAGCCCGCGCCCGGGAGCAGGCGGGGAACCGGGGCGCGGAAAGCGCAGGAAGAGGCGCCCGCCCAGCAGCGGGGAGCAGCGGGCGGGGACCCAGGCGCGCCTCGGTCCTTCCCCCGACCCTGCGGCCCAGACAAGTGCGGAAGTGCACGGAGCCCCAGGCCCAGGCCCCTCCGCGGGGACGCGCAGGCGCGGGCTGCTCTGGGGAGGCCTCGCTGCTCCAGCTGCTCCGGGCAAGTGGAAACAGATGAGGAGTTGTCAGCTTGGAGTTTTTTAAGCGTTTCTGCAAGACAGACAGTCTCTGGCAGAACCTACTCGCCTCACCCACCCCCCCCAGGCGGCATCGGTTGGGGTTCCCGGGCCTGGGCTGAGGCCAGGGGCGGGGGAGGGGGTGCCGGTGGTGGGTGCGCAAGGAAGGAGTCAGGGCCAGGGGACAGAGCCAGGAGGCCTCCAGTCACTGGCCTATGGAGCCAGGCCTGGAGCTTGTCCGGCCCGGGACGCCCTTTCCTCGCTCTTCCTTCCTTCCACACCCCAGCCTGGAGCAGGGGGGCAGGGGTGCCCCGCGTGGCCCAGCCTGCCCACTCCCTCACACCTGGGGCTTGGGCCCCCCCCAGCTTTCCCCTTTAGGCACCAGAGGACTTCCGCAGGGAGGAGATGATACATCTGCCTGCATTGGGGGTAAAACTTCAGTTGGACAGAAAATAAATCGCTGACACCCTGCGGGGATAAAAGATTATTTACAGGCCCCACAAATGCCAGACTGCTGTGCAGAATCGGGAAGAATGCAGCTGGTGGGTGACGGGCACCCCGTGGGGCTGGGGCTCGGCCCGCCAGGCCCCCAGGAGCAAGCGCTCAGTCCTGCCGGCCTCCTCCCTGGCAGAGGCCCAGTGGGGGCCAGTGGGGGGGCTGCTGCTCTAGACTGCTAGAGAGAGGGGCTGGCACCCCGGGGACCCAGGCACCCCTACACACACACTGGCTCAGTCCTTCCAGAGGGCGCCCGGCAGGTGACCTCTGGTTCCAAGCCAGCGCTGGACCCCTTGGGAGGCAGACGGGGGAGGATCGGGGCTGGCGAGGGCTCGGGCAGGCGGGTGCGCACTCCCGTGTGGCTCCTGAATGAAAGTCCGTGTGTTTGGAAGGACACAGACCGCAGTGTGGGGCGGGTGGAATCTGGGGTTACTCACCGGCAGCCCAGGCGCCCGGGCACGGCGGAGCCTCAGCTCCGGGGCGTTCGGTTTCTGAGGGTGGCTCTGTGCGTCCACATCGCCCTGCGGGATCTGAGTGGCAGCCGTGGCTGCCCAGCCCTCTGGGCCCGCGGACAGTCCACAGCCTGAGGGCTAAAGCAAGAGTCCGTCGCAGCCAGCCAGCGGCACCTGGCCTGCAGGGTGTCCCTCACTCCTCTCTGCGCTGCCCCTCCCGGAGCTGAGACCAGCAGCCTGGCCGCCGGAGACCCTCCACCTCCCACGGCCGGCCCCCGCCTGCTCTAGGCCCAGCAGAGCCTCCCAGAGTGTGGACACTGCAGCCCGGGCTCCCTAGGCCTGACCAGCTGTCTCAGGAGCAGCCAGGGGCAGGGGAGAGGGAAGCCGCCCTGGAGCTCTGGTGCAGGCTCCAGCCGGCTGCACCCAGCAGGGCCCCCCCAGCCTCCCTGCCCCTCAACCAGAGTCAGAGGCCAGGGGGCTCAGGCACAAGCCTGGAAGCTCGCACTGGGGGGAGGCCCCTGCCCCGGAACCTCTGCCCCCCAGACCCTGGCACACTCGGGGCACATTCAGGCACGCCTGGCCCCACAGCGCCGCCAGGGCACCCGGCTGGTACATGCCCAGCCCGAGTCCAGGCGGGATCAGGCCCTGTGTGGCCACCACGTCCTTCCCCAAGTCCGACCCCTCCTCCCTGGTGCCTCCAGGAGGGACATGGCAGTTCAGGGCATAAGGGGGGGCGGGGCAGCTCCACTTGGGGTGTCTGGGCCTGACCCCCGTGGCTTTGTAACCTCAGCCCAGCCAGTGCCGGCCACTCACTGGACACGGGGTGGGGCTCACTCTGCTCTCCAAACTGCAGTAGGGGTTCCAAACAAATGCCCAGGCGCTGGCCTCTCCTGCCTTCTGGGCACTCCTGCCCCTGAGCTGGGTGGATGCTGCACAGGCCCCGCAAAGAGGCAGCACCCCAGGAGCCCCGATGTGCCCTGCTTCCCATCTGGTTCCCATCTGCTGGGGGGCCCCCGGCAGTCTCTGCCCCTGGCCCTGGGGCGTGGGCCAGCAAGTGGGGCGGCGTGGCCTTGCCGCAGCGGTCAGCGCCAGGAGCCACAGCAGAGCCCGGCTGTGGCCCCACGGGGCTCAGCACCCCACGGTCACTCAGGCCCCAGGACGTGGCAGGGCAGCAGCGCACCCAGGGGTCTCTGAGCGACCCTGCTGTTCCCAGGACGGGGCACAGGCCTGGCTGATGGGGCCGCCCTGGGGGTGAGCCGGCCACACAGGCCCCCGGCGCCTGAGCCCCACGGGGGAACGGGAGAGGCGGCGCATTCTGGGGTCCCCAGGAGGAGGAGCCAGCAGCTGCTGCCGATCTGGGCCCAGCACACACCATACACACCCTCATATGCCCCCACACCCGACACACCCCATAACCCCCTCACCCTCACACCCCACACCCCCGACACCACCCACAACCCCCCACACCTCTCCACACTCCCCACTCACCCCCACCCTCCCCACACCCCACACATGGCGGCTGCCCGCCCTGTCCGAGGCCCGTACACTCAGGACGCTCAGATAGTGTCCGCAGTGGTGCGGAGCCCGTGGCAGGGAGGCTCCACCCCGTGGCCTCCGAGCTGCCCTTTCCCTGCAGCGTTTGAGTGGACGGTGAGCCAGGCTGGCCACTGCACAGAGGCCGCAGGGGCAGCTGGGTGCTGTCTTCCTGGCAGGCGCTGGCGGGGCTGCAGACCCTCGCCAGATGCCCCAGCCCCAGCACCTGTTCGTGC